CTTACTTTTGCCATAATCTACTGCTGTTTGGGGCTAGTCTCTGAAGTTACATTTAAGTACACAAACACTATGAAATGAAAAATCTTTGTATTTAAGATGCTATAATTTTGTTAGCTTCACATGCGCTTGGCTACTGGCAGCTCTTCTATAACCTTAGAAACCAGCTTTTATCCTTAATTTAAGAAATAAAAAAGATAAGACTCATACTCTGTTTAAGAGCTAGAATATCTTTGTAAACATGTTTGGTTACAAACAAGTTTGTTTCCATAGCAACATGAACACAAAAGATGCCCATATGACTATCTACATATAGCATGCCTTTTTATGAGTACCTGTGTGCAGAAATACATTGTATTTCTGTTTAACTTGTATTCTTTGTTTTGCCTGGCGACAAATAAAATAGGCACATGCTGTTTATCTTTTTCTCTAAGGAGACAGGTCATTAGAAAATTTAAAATATAATTTGTAATCATATCTTTTCAACAACTCAAATTCAAACTTGCATAAAGAAAAAGCTTATGGAAAAATAAAAGCTTTATCTGATCCCTTGAAGATGTGTGATTTCAATTGCTAAAGGGGTTTTTTTCCTCTAAGTAATATGTTGATTATTAGATATTTCTTTAGATTTTCTAATCTAATTGTGCTTCTGTTTTTCATGACTTACAAAACTTATTCCACAGGTTGATGTCTCCACGAGTGGAACAATTCTTTGGGAGATGTTGACGTCAACCTATTAGTGCTTACATAGGTGTTGATGTTTGCATTTAGTATAAAATGCCATGAAATTCTATTCCACTGAACACCATGCAGGTGATTCACATTTTTAGAGTGCATGTTAGCCAGCTATTTTGACTGGTCAGAGCAAGGTTTGTTTGCTTTTCAGTATATCTTTCCATTAGGAAAGGAAATGAATTTGATACATTTGTTATTAGTAAACTTTAAATATCGGATGTAAATACCTATCTGAAGTTCTATGTTTATTTATGTTCTGCTTTCTCATGGGAAACTAGAAGTGTTAGCAGCAGAAATTATTGGAGAAAATTTTTTATCTTTAACAATGACAGACTCACAGAATTTTTAGGGTTGAAAGCAACCTCTGGAGATGATCTGGTCCAACCCCCGTGCCAAGGCAGAGTCAGCTAGAGCAGCTTACACAGGAACACATCCAGCTGGGCTTTGAATATCTGCAGACAGAGAGACAATTAATTGGATCAGAGTATCTGAATTTCTCCCGTTGCTTTTAATCTACCGTTTTAAAATCCTGCCATCAATATCCAGGAGTCCAAAAGACATGTTGACATTCATTAGCGTCAGGGTTCCTATATATTTCTAGCTTTCAGCTATAACCTTTTAAAGCCTTTTACACTAGCTGTATTGTGCTAGTATTGTACTACAGCTAGTGTATTTACACTAGCTAATTGTACAATTTTTCCCCCATGCATTGTGGAGAAGAGATTTCATGGGTGATTAATTTAACCTCCTTTCAATTTATTTTAAGCAGAGACCAGTTAAATAAATGGCTTTCCAGAACCATAGAATTGTGGTTGGAAGAGACCTCTGGAGACTGTCTAGCCCTTTGGTCAGAGCAGGGTCATGGGGCCACCTAGCACACATTGCTCAGGACTGTGACCAGTGGGGTTTTGAATACCTGCAAGGATGGAGATGCATCTTGGGCATCCTGTGCCATTGGTTGACCACCCCCATAGAAAAAAAAAATCATTATGTTGAAATGGGATATCTTGTGTTTAATTTGTGCCTGTTGTCTGTCACAGACATTTCTTCATAGAAATCCTTTCTTTGGGATTTGTCCTTCTTCTGGGAAGCAAAGGGCCCCAGAAGAAGAATGTAAACAATTGTTATCAGCTGCTGTGAAATGTAGCAGGTGTCCCTGTGATTGGCTCATCTTCCATGTGTACCATTAAAGGCCAATCACAGGAGCAGCTCAGGGACAGATTCCTTGAACACAGAACTTTGTTATTCATTCCTTCTATTCTATTCTTAGCATAGCTGCTCTCTGCAACTTCTTTTTCTTTTTAGTATAGTTATAATGTATTATATATCTTATATCAATAAATCAAGCCTTCTGATCAAGGAACAAGATTCTCGTCCTTCTCTCACCACAGTGACCGTCTAAGGTCGCTGTAATAGTTGCCTCTTGTCCTTTTACTTGATACCACTGAGAAAAGTTCTGCTCTCCTTTTTCTGCCACTGATCAGGTGTCTATAAGCCCAGGACAGACCCCATTGAGCCTTCTCTTCTCAAGGCCCCCACCTCTCACAGCCTCTCCTCATACAAAAAGTGCTCCAATCCTTTACTGACCTCCACAAACTTCAGCTGGCCTTGCTGCAGTAACTCTCTGTCTCTCTAGGACCCAGTTCTGGGCAGCCCACTGCAGCATTCAGGATGGCTGAGCAGTGCTGAGCAGAGAGGAGGGACGTCCTCCCTCAGTGTGCTGGTGATGCTCTTCCTTGTGCAGCGAGGGTTGCTGGGGAGCTTCTTTGCTGCAAGGGCACACTGCTGGCTCCTGGCCAGCTTGTTGTCCCTTGGGTCCTTTCTGCCAACATGCCTGGGATTCTTCCTGCCAAGTGCAGCACTTCACCTTTTCCCAGTATTGAACTTCATGAGGTCACTGTTGGCCCATTTCTCAGCCTGTCAAGGTTTTTCTGAATGCCAGGACAACCTGGCATGTATCAGCCACTCTTAGTTTTGTAGTATCCATGCACTCTGTCTCAGCTTGTGAGTTATTGATGAGTTGCTGAGCAGTATTGGCTTTTGTATTGACACTTGGTGTGTGCCTTTGATGACTAGCCTCTAGTGAACGTGGTGCTGCTGATCCACGTTTTTTGGCCAGCAGTTCAGTCACTTTTCTGTTTGCCTTACTCTCCATTCATCTGTTTTGTGTTTCATCAGTTTTTCAGGAGGAAGACAATGCAAGGCTGTGACAGAAACATTATTAAAGCCAAGATAAGCAATGTTCAGTGTTCTGTTCTGGTCCACTGGGTCAGCCTGCTCATTGTGAAAGGCTATCAGGTTGGTCAGGTACAATTCCCCCTCCATGTATTCATGCTTACCATGTCCAGATAGATTCTTATTCCTCCTTTGTATGGCAATAGCTTTTAGGTTTATTTTTTCCATTCCTTTGCTAGGAGTTGAGGTGAGGCTGAGACTGAATTCTTGAAAGCAGAGGTGATATTTATTCTCTTCCAGTCCTCAGAGTTTCCTCCCCTCACCTTGATCTCTATTATTCTTTTTGATCTTTCAGTGTTTGAGTGCTCTCACAATGACATCAGCCAACCCTCAATATGTGTGGTCCATCTCATCATGGCCTGTGGATCTGTGTGTGTCCACTTGGTTTAAATGCTTCGTAACCTGTCTCTCCTCCACTGTGAGGAAATCTGCTTTGCTTGAGGCTTTCCTATGGTTTTCAGGGACCTGAGATAGCTGAGGGATGGTTTTATCAGTGAAAAGTGAGATGAACAGGGCATTCAGTGTATTGGCCTTCTTCATAACTTTTGTGACAGTCTCCATCAGGAGATATCTTTTCATTATATCTTGTGATGGGGAGACCATTGCCCATAGCCTTCCTTATGCTGTGCAGCACCAGCTGAAACATTTATTTTTCAAGTTTATATGAACTGTCTACCCATGTCTGTGATCCCAGTAAAGTTGAAATTCTCCAACTACATGCAGACCTCATAATTCATCCTGTTTGCTCTGCTGTGTGCATTAGCAAACAGGCTATTTGAAGAGGCAGAAGAGTATGCTTTTTTTCCCAAAAAGATAGAACACCTTTACCATAATTCTGCCTGGAAGGCATTTCCCGATGTACATGTACACAGTTGGGGTGGAACCCCTACAGCCCTGGTTTTTTGCTTACAAATTTCTTCCTGTTGACATTACCCCATACTCTTTGCTTGCCAGCCTGGTCCTTTACTTTTTCTCTTGATTGTTTCTAGTTTGAATTCTCATTACTGGGTTCACCAGCCTGTTGTCAAAATGTTTTTCTCCACTTATGTGGACAGCATCTCTGCTAAGCCATCCTCTGTCCTTGTAGAATAACCCATGATTGTTAAAAATCTAAAACCCTGTAGCCCACACTGACTGCGCAACAAATACTTATGGGATCTGTTACTTCCTTTTTCACCCTTCTGTCTTTCTGGAAGGATTGAGGGGAAAACTGCCTGGAGTCTCCATGGACTTGAACCCAACCCCCCATACAATTAGCAGCATAATCAATGCTCAGTGCTTTCTTCATTGCCTCTGGTGTCACTTGTATGGAAGAGCAGCAGAGGGTCATAGCCTGCAGCAGCCTTCTGCAATGTCCTGACCTGAGTTTCCAGCAGGCTGCAAACCTCCCCAAGCAGCAGCTTGTGGGATTCACCTCCCCCCAGCAGGGAGCTTCCTGCTGCAAATGCCCACCAGAGGTGTCTCTGCACCTCCATTCTTGTGCTGGCTCGAGTCCCTTGCAGAACAGAGCTTTCTATTTGCTATTCTTATGAGACAACTGTTTCAGTTAGGTGTTTTATGTATTTTACTCTTTGTTTTGTGAACAAATATGTATAAAAACATTGCTGGAGAACTAATCACACATTTTGGCTTTTTTTAAAATTTGTTTTATTAAGCCTTGTTTATTTTTGAATGTTATCCTGCCAATGCCGCATGGGTTAGCTGGCTATGCAAAGGCTTTTTGTACCAGTGTGATGAATAGAGGAAAGATCATTTGTGGTTTCCCTGTACTCAGGAAGGTCATGGAGTAATCTCAAATCAGTCAGAAAGTCTACAAAAAGATAATGAATATCAGTGTCTGGTACAGGATTTGATGAAAATTATTTAAGATTACCTTTCAAGTCCAAATTTTTACTTTAGGTTATGCCTTTTGGAAGACACCAGCCTACAAAGTTTTCCAAACCTTGCTTCATAACCTGTTTTAAGGCAATGAAATAGATGCTATCTTAACATTGCAACTGGTTTCATATGTGTCTTGTTTCTGTTTCTTCTAGGAAATGAACCCAGGAAGTAATGTGAAAGGTCATGTGAAGCTCTGTCACAGCAGAAATTTTCTAAAAGATTGCTTTACCTGTAAGTTCTTCTTTTCTGATGTTAAATGCTAAGTTGTATCATACTGTGGTGGGAAAAGACAACTTTATTTTGGCATTTTGACTTGCAGCTTAATTGTGAAGAAAACCTTTCCAAGTGCATTATGTGGTAACATGTGCTATTATTCACTTTCTGTATTTTAGTAAAGCCCAAACAAACATTTTTTTTTCCTCTAAGTAAATAACTAAATCTCAGATTTTCTGTAAAACCTGTTAAGGTTTAGAATCCAATGAGCAAGATTTTCATGCTGTTTCATTACAGATTTTGCATCCACTGTGATGCATTCTAAACTGCAATTACTTGTTTTTCAGGAACTATTTTAAAAGCAAATGGTAAAAATTATTCAAACTTGTATGAGAGTGTGAAACTACCACTGAAAGCTCTTTGCAAAGATTTCATGTACAGGTGCCTGCTGTGACTGAGACATCTTCGGGATTCAGAGTTATTCAATTATATGATAGTGCCCTTTACAATTGTGTCATTTGTGGCAAAGAATTTTCTTCAAGCTAAAATGAACTCATTTAGTTTTGTATGTATCTCACAAGAAACTCCACCTACAAATTTAAACTGTGGCTTTCATCCTAAATCTAATTGTCCACATCAAAATATTTAAAGTGGGAGATATGAACTTGCTCTCTTAGCAAAATGGCAAGAAAAATATTAAAAGATCCATTTTACACAAGGAACCAAAACCATCAGGCTTGGTTTTGGCAGATTCACGTGGGTGGTGTCAGAGCTTAGAATATAGAAGTTCTTAGTCCCTGTCAAAAGGTATAATTTGAAAATATGTAAATATGCCAAAAAAGTATACCCTGAAGGAGATTGAGAGTTTGCAAGCTGCAATTTCAGCAATATGTTGATTTTTTTCCCTTTGTATGTAATTATCATAGTTGAACTATGCATCACCTAGATAGCAAGTTCTTGAAAATTATAACGGGGAAAGCATTACTGAAAAATGTTTCAAAACTGATAGTAGGTGTTTAATCCTTTAAAAATAATAATTTCAGATTTTTTTTTGTTACCTAGCACTCTATTTTAAAGTAGCAACAACGCCTCTACAAGGGCAGCAAAGATAATTTAGTTTGACATAAAATCTTCAACCAAACAAAAACTTGCAAACAATAGCCCTCCACATTTCAAGCTCCTTATGTAGTTTCAGAAAACCTGCTGGTATTTATTTGACTTTCTTCAAAATGTGCTTCTTGTCTCAGTATTTCTTTACTGCTCTGATATAACTAGAGACAACCATAAAGTAAGTACCAATACAAGCAAATCTGTTAGAAATTAAAATCTTAATTCTGCAGTTGTGAAGTAGAAACAGAATGTTATTGTCTTTATTATATAAATATTTACGAAGTGCTGATTTACGAAGAACTTCAGCAATTGTCCTGTGTTATCCTAAGTGCATTAAAATTACTCCAACATTGGAACATTTCTTTAGGTTTTGTCAAGAAATCCAGATGGGCTATTTCAGGATAATTGAAGGAGACTTTACAATTAGTCAGGGAAGAGAAAAGAAAAAGTGCTCCTCTGATAATGCTGTCTTAGTAACTGAATTAGTCAGATTTTCAGTATTATTTGAGAGGTTTAATTACTTAGCAGTAGTCAAATGGATTTCCCATGTCATAACAGTAGCCTTAAAAGAACACAAATGATAAAATTGAGGTAGAATAGACTAAATTATTTCAGTTTTGTCTTCTCTTTCAATTAATTACCCTTGTTATTTTCTTCATATCTCCCTGAGAAATCTTAGTATTTTGTGTGCACATGTAAATGTATGCATGTGGGTGGGTGTGTGTCCATTAGAGATATTTATGTTCAGTGAAGATGAGACAACAGTTGGGACAAAAGTGCTTGCAAGTGACTTGGAAGAATCGTAGGTGAGAACATGGAGAAAAGTCCCTGACAGGATGCAAATGCTGAGTGTTTAATTGCACACTGAGCAATGAAGTACATTTACAGCTTCCCAGACAAAAGATGCATTGTTTGGAATCCTGCAAACATGCTGATTTAAATAGTGACTGCATTTGAGGACAAAATAGCAGAAGAATGTACTTTTTTCCTGATCTAAAATATTTGAAGCATAGTCTATTACTGTATATAGACAATTCTGAAGTCTGGTTAAAGAGCTGGCAATATCCAATATTATTTCTTACTGTAGACTGCAACTGATTTTGTAATTCACATACTCAGCCATGGTATTGGTGTAAACAGAAAAAAAACAACATAGGGAGGAAAGGGATGTTATTGTTGTTATTGTATGAGTACAGGTTGCAACAAGACAGAGAAATCTAGCATTTTTAACCATTACATAGTTCTAACTTATTTGTGTTTTTGCTAGAAATAATTCCATACTGCTGATTTGCATATGGATTAGAAGCTTTTCTGTTATACATTTAATGAACCTGGCAATATTCTGAATTAATTAATTAGTATTGTAAGATTGGCTGTCATGATACACAGACAAGCAACAACATAACTCACTGAAATTTGTAGATTGTGACAGCAATTAATTATGATCAGTTTTGTAATTGTTACATTTTTCTTTCAAAAGGACTTTCCATGTATTATTTCTATTAATATTAGCTGACTAACATATCATATAGCATCAAATAGCAACATAAAATGGTTTGGGTTGAAAGAGACCATGAAGATCATCTCATTCCAGCTTCCCTGCCAGGGACAGCTTCCACTGGACCAGGTTTCTCAGAGCCCCATCCAACCTGGGCTTGAACACCTCCAGGGATGTGGCAGCCACAGCTTCTCTGTGCAGCCTGTTCCAGTGCCTTCCTAGCTCTGAATAAAGAATTTCTTCCTAACATCCAATCTAAATCTCCCCTCTTTTAGTTTAAAACTCTTCCCACTTGTCTTATCATTTTCCACTTGTGTAAAAAGTTACTCTTCCTCTCTTTTATAAGCTCCCTTTAAGTACTGAAAAGCCACAAGTAAGTAAATAAGAATCTTTTTCTACCTTCTCCCCTGCAATTGGATTCTTCTATATTCAGCTAGTCACTATCAAAATAATATTTCAGTCCTGTGCTTAAAAAGATCAAAATTATACCCATCATAATATGTTCTGTGTAAAATAAGGAGTAGCACGAAGTCTACTGCTATATGTTTATAGAAGAACTGGAAGTTCTAAATATGAACCACAAGTTCTTAATATGATAGTCATTGACCTTGGCAGAAATGTAAGAGTAGAAATATTCTGTTTGCACAATAAATTATTCCCATCTAGGAAAGGCATTTTTGTTGATGCACAGCATCAAGCGTTCCTCATTTTCTTTGAGTAATTGCCTTTGATAAGGGAATCTTTGAGAACATAGCTTTTTCTCCTATTCCCCTCATGCCCTCTGGGGAAAAAAATACATTTGGAATACCTTTTCTTCATTCACAGCTACAGGGTTGGGTCAATTATATGGAGATCCTGGTGAGAGTCCAGTGAAAGTGCAGCAAAAGGAAAGACTAAAAAACCCCAAAAAGATACTACCAAAATCAGTAGTGAGAATTGAAGTACTGTCTATGGAAACTGGTGAACACTAACACAGGCTTTTTTTTTTTCTGTAGAAAATTCCAATACCCTAAGAGCACATTAATTTTCAAGGAGTGTCATGCACAGCTCTAATTAAAGTTTCACTGATCACCAGGGAGTGAATCTTCCCTGCTCTCCCTATACCTGCCTCTTGTCTTTCTGAACTGAACTTAGATTTAAAATTTAATATCAGGTGTTACCTGGCATATGTTTTCATGTCAGCTTCTGTCACTATATTCAGGGAAATACAAGTTTTACTTGTAGCATTTCTGCATACTATAGGCATCTTTCTGGTCATAAGTTTGTACAAACCTAAATTGCAGAGTAAGGAGAATAGAATTATTGCAAAGGTCTTTCATGTTTTGCTTCATTACTTATTATGTAGATTTTTTTAATAAGGGGTATACTGAGGAATATAAATAGATATATCTGAAATGATGACAACAAGAAATACAACAGCTGTCCCTGTTGTTGCTTGTTAATTTGCTGTGCTGAGGTGTAATTTCATGCTTTGTTAAAATCAGACCTATTAACTATGATTTGCTGAAGGTGAAATAAGGGGACAGGCTCCATGAAGTTTCTTTGTTTTAAAAAGTATGTGGTACCTGATATTCACTGAAAGTAGTGGTCAGGGAAAAGTGTCCTGTAAGTTAAATATGTTGACACAGTAAAGAGCATTGATTAAACTAAACCAAAATATTTTATTCTTTACAGTCAGTATACAGTTAATATTTTCTCTAGGCATAAACTTCCTGAATCTCAGGTCACAATGCATGTGTAGATATCAAGATGGTGCTGTAGATATCAGCAGGTGCACAGTGTTCATAGTCCACCAGGCATGGCTTCATTAGCTGCTGAACTAAGGGAAATCTGGAGAGTTCTCTGAGATGCCTTAAAAATTAAGGGTTTGATGTCTCCTCATGACCTAAGCAGTGCTAAAGTTGAAAAAGAGCTGATGGGGAAAAAAGACACAAACAAAAGAAAAAATATTGGAAAGAATTCTCAGGAAGGGAAGATAAGCTAGTCTGTTTCAATGAATAAAAAAAATTGAGGTCCAGGGGGAGGGAAGAAAGGAAATGATACAAGATGTGAGTACCTCTGAACAATAGTTGTTATTTTTGATTGGTTTAAAGTTTTTTCAAATTCAGTAGAAGAAACTTATTAGTTTATTTTCAGTGTTGTGCAAATATACATTAATTCTATATATTTTATCATTAGTAAGTTTCTGGGTAATTATGTGTAGGTTTAGAGAATGTATGGGTGAAGTTATAAATGTTTTGATTTCCTCATTTGGCACAGTGTGAGTACCGTATATGCTTCCAAATAGTGCAACAAGATTTGGCTTCTCAGCCTCTCTCAGGACTGAATTTGCATCTATTCCTCTGGACTGTCTTGACCATGCTGCAGAATTAGCTTGGGAGGGAAGGAATGAGCTTTGGTGTGTAGCCTG